GAATGGGATGAACTCTTCCATAAATCAGAAGCGGATAGCAGAATGGATTAAAAACCATAATCCTACAATATGTTGTTTACAGGAAACACATTTGAAACAGAGGGACACACACAGGGTAAAGGTAAAAGGCTGGAGCAGAATATATTATGCTCCAGCTGAAGGAAAAAAAAAAAGCAGAAAAAAAAACCTATCTGCACCCGAAGAGGTCTGGTTCAAATCCAGTTGCAGATACCTACTAGCTGTGTGACCCTGGGCAAGTCACTTAACCCTTCTTGCCTTAGTTTCCTCATCTGTAAAATGAGCTGAAGGAGGAAATGGCAAACCGTTTCAATATCTTTGCTAAGAAGACTCCAAATAAGCTCATGAAAGGTAGGGCATGACAGAAAAAATGACTGAAAAACAGCACAGGCTTTTGACCAAAAAAAAAAAAGGGGTGGCAGAGAGCTTACAAGGATACAGAACCAGTCACAGACAAAGATAAAATCAAAACACGTTTCCCAGATTGTCAGTCCTAAATGGACAATCGTTTTTAATATCATGTGCCTCTATCCTAAAGGAGATTATGCCACAGAAGATGCCAAGTTCAAGAATGTGATCTTCCCAATGTCATTTGGGAGCATGGCATTTGTTCATAAGTTTGTTTTCGACATTTGTACTTACATGAATGTAGCTCTACTTAAGCGGAGCTTCAACTACTTGGAACACTGCTAACAATCCAGACATACATAGAAAAGGCTTCCAAAATTGAGGGTTGGGGGCAGCTAAGTGGTGCAGTGGAGAGAGAACTGGCCCTGGAGTCAGGAGGACCCGAGTTGAAATCCGGCCTCAGACACATAACACTTACTAGCTGTGTGACCCTGGGCAAGTCACTTAACCCCACTGCCTACCCCCGCCCCAAAACTGAGGGTCAAAAATATTATATAGTAAAAAAATTCCCTTTCAGATTCTATTTCTCAACTACTAGTTTTTAAATTTTATTCTTATTATGAACTTATAATTATAAACAGCAACAAATATGAACATTTCCTTACATTAAAAACAGAAAGAGGATTATATATAGCACATACATCTCTATTGTGGACAGCCCTTCTAAGAAGTATAAATTAAATTTAGCTCAGTAGTTCTAACACTGCTCTGTTTGTCTATGTCCGCTTCTGTATTTTAAGATGTATTATATATACTTTTTTGTTATAGCCATCAGTAGTTACCTACTGTTTCTTATAACTCTCTTCCAGGAAAAAAATAAAAATTTTCTCTTGTAATCAATGTAATGAAACAAAACAAATCCACACATTGGCTGTCTGTACACATAGCTATGTCTCATTCTGCACCACCATGTCAAAAGGTAGCAATCATACTTCACCACCAATCTTATAGAGTTCTAAGAGGTTACTGCATATTACAGTTCTCAAGCATTGCAGTTGTTCTCCTTTAAAAAATTGCAGCCTTTGTATAAATTGTTTTCCTGTTTCTGTTCACTACTTTCTGGGTCTTACCAGATTTCTCTCAATCTATCACGTGGGCCATTTCTTAGAGCACAGTAATGTTGTACTACATTCGTATGGAGTATTTACAATTTTTATTGTAAACAATTTTTCATAAAATATTTTCATTAAAATGTACTTAATGAATATCAACAAACATGAACTACAGAAAAAAAGGGGGTCAGCTAGATGGCACAGAAGATAGAGTACTGACCATGGAGTTAGAAGGACCCAAGTTCAAATCGAGCCTCAGACACCTGCTAGCTGTATGACCCTAGGCAAGTCACTTAACCCCAACTACTTCCAAAAACAAAAGAAAAAAGGGGTGGGGTAGAGACTAAACTAAATTTGAACTATATACTGTAGTTTTTCCCCACTAAGTAAACTTTGGGGTTTTTTTAGTTCAAATTTAAAATGGTAGCTTCAGAACTGTCTTGCTTGTCTATCCCCTTCTGCTCTTGTTTTCAATGATTCATTAATAATTTTTTCTTTCTTTTCTTCCTTGAAGTATTACTATTGACATTCTTAGCACTCACTCCCTAACTCTCCTTTCAAAAGAAGAGTAAAATAAAAGCACTATCTTATAATAAATAGGGGACAATCACCCAAAATAAATCCCTCCCCTCTTTGTTAGGGTGCAATAATATTGCACTATATTCATTTGCCATAATTTCTTTTGCCATCCCCCAACTAATGGAGAATTTCACCGTTTATTGTCCTTTGCTATAACAAAAAGAGTGGCTACAAATATTTTATATGTGTATTTTCTCTCTTTTCTTCATAGGATATTAGATCAGATTTAGATTTGGAAGAGTCCTTAGAAGCTTTCAGGTCTAATCTCCTCATTTTACAAATGAGGGAACAGATGTCCAAAGTTTAAATAACTCATTCACATAGCTACTAAGTTTGTGAGGCAATATTAGAACTTACGTCTTTCTGCCTCTAAGTCCAGTAATCTTTCCATTATACCCTGCTGTCTCTTTCGTGTATAAATAAGCCTCATAAGGTTTCAAAGGGCCAAAGGGTAAGCATGTTCAGTGACTTTTGGGATACAGATTCAAAATGCTTTCCAGAATCAATGGCTGAACCACTGATTCACCAAAAGTGCATCAGTGTGCTTCTCACAGCTCCTCCAATTGGGATTTCCCAGCTTTGTTATCTTTGCCAATCCAACAAACATTCAGGGGGACCAAAGTGGTTTTAACTTGTATTTCTCTTATTAGTATTTTGGAGCATTTTTTTCTTATGGTTGTTGGTAGCTTGCCTTTTTTCCTTCTGAAAAGTGCCTATTGATATCCTCTATCTATTGAAGAATGACTCTTGTTCTCATGTTTCTATCAATTCCATATATATGTGTGTATACACATACTCATCTTGGATAGTAAACTTTCTCCAAGAAATTTGCCAGTTTTTCCCCTCAGTTGAGTTTGTTTTTTAATTTTAATTGCACTAATTTTGTTTTGCAATTTTTTTTCATTTTATGTCATCAAACAGCAGTAGTTTAGATACAAGAAATAAAACGAGTAAGGAATATGGGGGTGTTGGAGGTAGACATACTGACAGATTGCTAGGGAAGGCAGAAAAGTTACAAAAATCAGAATGCATTAAAAATAACATACTGAGATCATTTTGTATAGGGGCAAAGTGCTTTATACTACATTACTCAAGAGCTCTTTAAGTCATTACTATTTTCCTGCTGAGTAAAATAATTGAGAATGACATTATGTCATTAAGAAAATGTTAATACCATTATTTCCTACAGAGAAATATTTTAAATACACTTAGCATAAGCATATAAAAATTCATATTACTTTATTGTCGCTACTATACAGAGATTATAATCTCTTTGTGTGCAGGAACTGTGATGTATTTCATCTCTGTATCCCCAATTCTTAATAAAGTATCTTTCACAAAATAATCACTTAATAAATGCTTTTAGAATTGATGTCCAGTATGCTCTAAGAAACTAGGGAAGTATATAATTGGGTAAAATTGGGTAATTTAAAAGGATACTTATAATTATTCAGAAAATTCACTTATACGGAAACACTTTTTTCCCTACAAAAGCTAGACAAAAGAGGTTTAGCAGTGCCACACACCAAGGATATATTTGAATTGGATTGTTTCCATATGTCTGCTGAATGAAGAAAGAAACATAGTTTTTCCGAACTCCATAAAATAGACTCTTGGCACATTGTGGCTGCATTAACAAATGCTATTTTGTGACTGATAACATCTGCCTCTTTCGAAGGAGAAATTTGTACAGGACATATGATTCTCATCATTTTTTAGGAACTGCTGTATCAATTTAACTTCTTTAAACATACTCAATTTCTTGAATGGAAACTACAATGAGGCAGTGAGTTTGGCTTATATCTGAGAGCAGGAGAAAACTGGGTTAGATAGTATTTGGGAAATTTTGTAGCACTCTCAGGGATCCCAAGCTGCTCAGTGCTGCAAAAATCCATCTCTTTAACACAATATTCCTCTAATATTATATGACATGAAATCAATGATGATGACAATCTAAATAAGTAGAGCTTAATTTGCATGTGAGAAGGACCATAAAAAATATCACTTAGGAAAAGATGAGAATAAAAGACTGACTAGGCATGTAGTAAGAATGAAAGATAACAACCAGATAGTCAGAGTTCTATAATGGCATCTTCCAGACATTAAAAAGAACAAGAGGAAGGCCCTCAGTACATCTGATGCTCCTCCAGGGAGTGTCTGTGGAAGGACAAGAGAATAACACAGGGGAAGATGGTATAGACAACTTTCAATCTGCAGCAGTGGAAGAAGTAGCCACACAGATTACATAGTGTCTATAAAAGAAAAAGTTTTTTAAACTTTCACTTTTATACTAGAAAAAAAAAGTCCTTTTGTAATATATCAAAGCAGAGACTAGTGACTAACTGCCATGATCTCAAGTTTTTAAAGTAATAACTTAGTTATTATACTTATTCTCTAGTGCTAAGAATAACTTTTTCATTTTAATTACTTTTAAAAATCCATCTTAATTTGGGTATACAACTTTATCATCTATTCTCAACTCTAGCCAGGTCTTTTTTTTTTTAACAACTTTTTGTTATTGTTGTTCAAGCTGATGATTAGAACAGAAATTGTTACTTTCCTAATATCTTTTTAAAAAAAACTGAATAGCAGCTTACTTTCTTCAAAAAAAAATTAACTAAATTAGCTAAAAAGATAACTATGTTATTTCAAGTGAAAACATAACTGAGGCTGAAGTTTTTTTTTTTTAAATTCTCAAAGTGATCAACTAGGAATAAATAATTATCTATCCAAGAAGTTGAACACAACTCTCTATATCTAAACCTTAGCAGTATGAGGACAAAAAAAAAAGTGAATGATTTAAGTAAACTTTCCATACATTTTCCCACTCAGTTCCAAGTTATGTTTGCAGCATCAATTATAGAAGTGACCTAGCCAGTATTATTAGAAAAATTATGGTCCATGTCATTTGATCAGTGAATAAATTTTCTAAAAATTAATCCATTTAGGATTCTGAAAATTTATTATATGCATATTTTACATCCATTTAATTAAATTGAGCACAGATCAATTTCCATCAGTGTTCAAAAAGCAGGATTCATCTCTTTTTTCCCTTAAAAACCAATTACAAAATTGTCCAACTCAATGTATGAAGTGAAAATACAGCCATGCTTTCTAAATGATGAACCCATGTTGTTTCAATCTTGGTTCTAAGAGAAAAGTGTCAATATCCTTTTCTTCCTCTGAATCTTGATCTGGCATCCAACTAAAAACAAAAAGAGTTATTAAATCAAACATCTTGTAAAAGATACATTACTGAATACAACTTCTATTAAGGGCTGTCATATTAAGAGTAAAACAAACTAAACTTGAGGGCAAGGCAAAGAAAATACTAGAGATACCCTTTCCACCACGTACCTGACAAAAACAAAAGAATTGTAACTTCTGTTACATTCGGGTATACAATTAAAAGTTACAGTTTTTACAATTAAAGTTACAACTTGCAAGTTACAAAGTTACAATTAAAAGCATCTTTAAAATTAAACCAGCAATCATTTTCTTTAAAACTAGCATGGTACAATACTGGTTCTGTTCAAAGGACCTGGGTGTGATCCTGTCTCAGATACTTCTTCTTGTATGATGGTGGGTAAATCACTTAATCACCTGGGTTTTACTGTCCTCATCTGTAAAACAGAGGGAGGAGAAGGAAGAAACTTAACTAGATAGCTTCTGAGGTCCCTTCCAGCTCTCAACCTGTGATCCTGTGGGTGGTAGTCAACTCTACATTAGTAGCACTAATGCAAGGAAGCAATGACGCAGAAAATTACAAAATTATTTATGTTGTTTTCTGGAAAAGATAAAATCAATGAAACATTACAAAGAGAGCAAAAAAAAATAAAAGAGTGAACAATTAAGCAGGGTAATGTTCATGCCATTGTGTTAAACTTAATACGTACTTTAGAAAACAAGCTATATGAAATAGAGATTCACAGTTAAGCTAATTAAATTTTGCTTAGGTAAATATTAAAATATACTGTGAGTTCTTCTATAGCACAACACAAAAAGCACCTTGATATGCAAAGCTGCAAAATAAAAACCACACATCTTATGGGGAAAATGGAGCTGAAGCACAACGTTCAAAAACTTCATCAGTAAAACATAAATAAACATAGTTTTACATACATCAAATGGTTCAGACATACATAAGTACTACAATAAATAGTAGCCACGTCCTTGGCCTCGAGCTGCAACTGTTTGGTCTATGCCTCAGAATGCACAAGCAAGTTGGGCAGGCTGCAACTCTGGGGCTGAGCCTAGGAAGCTAACGGTCAGGGCACAAAAGGGTGAGGTAAGAACAGAAGCACTGTGGACAAGCCCTTCTCTGCTTACAGCTCCAAACTGCACCAGAAAACGCACTTTACCTGGACAAAGACCTCAAGTTTGCTTGTGGAAATGGGCATCAGAAGGACTGTAGCTTGTGAACTATTGTGAGTGGTGCAATTTTTTTCTCTTGCTGTTTCTCAAGGAAGAAATCACTCAGAAACAAACTTTAAATTTGCTTTATTCTCAAAATGTTCCCCAATATATTAATCATGTTACTATAAATTTGTGCTTGAAACACAAGTTACAGCAGAACTGACTGTATTTGTACTATGATAACGCACCAAAAGTGAAAAGGAAAAGCCCTGAGCAACAAGAAACTAGTTTGGGACTAAAAGTAGATTTTAATGGATAGAGTGGACATTGTGGTGTGATTCTCTCCATCAATAGTGTTAAGTGAGATGATCTGGGTTTAAGTATCCAATTACCTGGGTGATCTTCAGCTTAATCTTAATCTCTTTCTGTCTAAAAATTAACCTCTTAATCTCTCATCTTTAAAATGGGAATAATAATTCTTTACTAGCCACCTCACAGGGTTTTTATGAGGAAATCACTTTGCAAACCTTAAAGTATCCTAAAAATATGAACTGGAATAATTATTAGTATTGAGTGGGCTATACATCCTTTTCCCCAGGAATGAGTAATGTCTTAGAGCACCAGAAGTCTTGCAGAAATCTTCTTAACATCATCCTGCCAAAAATTTGCCTAGCTTGCTCTCACTGTATCATCTTATATTTTCGAGAATTATAGAATTGTAAAGCTTGAAAAGATCTTAGAGCTGACTTACTTAATTTTTAATACTCTTTTTTATTATGAACTGAAAAATCAACAAACATAACATTCCCATACACAAAGAAAAAGATGATTGTGTAAGAAACTGTGAATCTCTACTACAAAGCTTGTTTTCTAAAGTGTATATTAAATTTAACACAATAACAACATTACTTTGCTCATCTGTTTCCTCTTTTGAATTTTCTTTTGCCACCTATGTAATGTTTCATAGATGGCCAAACCTCTAACTTCTTTGACATCAGTAAATGACATTCTTTCCATCCTTCCCAAATCACTTCCACTGCTTCTAATCATTCTAAGCCAGAACCTTTCTCTCCTTCACATATGTATATCTGCACAAGACTAGGCTTAGAGGAGGTACTTACTAGCTTGTATTCAGTGACTTAAAACAACTTTTGCCTACTTACCCTCACCAAGACCTGATATGATACTTACTAAAACTCCTAAGAACAAACAGGCTGGATAATTAACACTATTAAAGAAGGTAGAAGCAAAATAATACCAGAGATTTTTGGCAACTGCTATAGTTTGTGAGATTCACTCAAATGTCACTTGATTTTTCACTCACTGGAAGGAATTTTTTACCACTCACTAAGTAAAAAAATTGGAAAAATTATCTCTACATATTCTTCCTTAGTATAGTTTATAAAACAACTGAATCACAATTCCTCAAATGAATATCTCACTATTTCTAGTTTCTAGCTTATTGGATAACCACTTACCATTGATCTTTTGCATTCAAAAAATGAATATTTCAAAGCTTTGCAGTTTCCTTCCTTCAAACACTGTCGAGGAGTTTTTCCTTCCTGTAACATACAAGACAATAAAAGTGAATATCTGGGAAATTCCCTTACAAAAAACACAAATACAACGTCTACTATTTCATCAATACTTCAAAATTCTCTATAGTTTAATCAACATGGCATTATGAGTTAAATTTAACACGAAGGGTAAACTCAGGTAATTCTTAAAGCAAGATAACATTTATCATGCTGCCTTTCAATAAATGGGTCAGTGATTACCTCCATTTATGACAAAGACGCCAAGGAAAAGGACAGTTCCCCTTTTATGGATTTTGAGGAATACAGAACAAAGAACACAATGAAGCAGATGGCATCAGGGAGTGGGGACAACATGACTGGTTACAGAGCCAAGGCTCAGTGAAGTTTGGTAATGGAGGGTAGCAACAACCCTCTCTTTTCCCATTGCCTAAGAAGTAATCATTGTTTAAGCACAAGTGCAAGGTCAAAAGATAACAGACTGGACTCTTTTGGACAGCAAACCAGACATCCCTGAAGGATGGCTTCATGGTGTAAAGATACTAGACCCAACTCACTTGTGCTCACACACATTCCCCAAGAACAGCTAAATTCCTTAAAGCAAGAATAGATCAGTGATTAGTAGGAGAGTGGGACTTCTAAAATTACAGGCCATTACAGGCCAGCTCAATTCTGAACTAAATTTAGAGACAAAAGAACCATGACTTAAGCAATTATAGGACAAAAGCAGTTACAGGACAAAATCAAGTAATTGTAAATAGAATCAATAAGAAAATGATACAAGATCAATTTTAATCTTCTCAGAGAGTACAGAAAATGTATTACAACCCAGGGATACACTAATGAATGCTTAAAAACCAGCTCTTTGGGGAGGGGGAAGTATTCAGACAGACTTTTCAGTATAATCTGCATTATTAACCCTTTCTCATTTGGACAAACAAGCCCTGAATTGTAGCAACTGTCAATGTTTGAGGTGTAAATGCTCACACTGAAAATTTAACAATGGGCTCTCACAAGTCTTCTATAACTGGCCTTAGCACACCCCTGCCACAGTCCCTGTGCACCTTAGTAAATGATTTCATAAGCTGCTATTGTCAACAAAATCATTGGTGGCCAGTCTTTTAGTGATGAGATTGTAATCTTCTAACTATAACACTCTTAAAAAATACAAAGCTAGGTTATAGGATTGTAGATTCAGAGGTCATCCAGGGCAACTACTTCATTTTCCAGACAAGGAAGCTATGGCCTAGAAAAGTTAAGGGATCTGCCCTAAGTCTCACAAGCAACAAATGGCAAAATGGGAGCATGGACTCTAAATTTATCATTCTTTCTATGGCTGAATCAATATAAGTGGTCTCTAATTTACAAATTTTAATTCAACAAACATTTTAATTTGGACTCAACACATATTTTCTCACAGAAACAATATTCTAAATCAGGCCTGCACAACTTGCGGCCAGCAAGCCACTTAGGCTGCTTGTGGATTTCCTCTACATAGAAAGATGTTTTCCTCTACGTTTTTCAAAGGCTGCCCAAAATCCTTTGGCATGCCATAAGCGGCCCATGGGTTGCAAGTTGTGCAGGCCTGTTCTAAATGGTGGTCAGATTCACAAGAAGGACCACAAAACCAATTTAATCTATAATGTACTATTATAAATATTGTACATTTACTATCTCAGTGGAAAACAATAGTTACAATACCAAAAAATATATATATGTAAAATAGTTCACATTTATATAGTGCTTTAAAGGTTTACAAAATGCTTTCCTCGAAATAATCCTGTGATTTAAATATTGCCTTATTCTCCCTCATTTCATTGATAACGACACGTGAGGCACAAAAAGGAAAGCTTTCTTCAGGGTAAAGGTAGTAAGCATCAAAGGCTGAACACAAACCCATGTCTTCTTATCTCAAGACCAGTGCCCTTTTCATTTTACTCTCAAGCCTCTTCAGAAAAATCATGCTTTGGAGGGGCAGCCAGGTGGTGCAGTGGATAGAGCACCGGCCCTGGAGTCAGGACGACCTCAGTTCAAATCCAACCTCAGGCACTTGACACTTAATAGCTGTGTGACCCTGAGAAAGTCACTTAACCCCTATTGCCTCACCAAAACACAAAAAAAATCATGCTTTATACTAAATGTTGGTACTTGACAGCAGATGAGGATAGGTCGATGAAGACTTGTGAAGACTCTGAAAAGGACTCGAAATGGTTTAATATCATAAGATCAAAGAGTATCAGACCTAAGATAGGACCTTGTAAATCATCTAATTCAACCTCCTCTCCTTCTGATAAGGAGACAGAGGCTCAGAGAAGTGAATTAAAGTCACTAGGTTTTAGGGACAGTTAAAAATATCTTAGGGAAATCTGGAAAGGAGATAGAATGATAGACATTTTCCTTAGTGAATTAGGTAAAAGTTAGAAATAAAGGAATTAAAAGTATGTGTATATATGAGCTGAAAAGACATGAACCTGGAGTAGAAAGAATTAATCTATGAAAAAAAAAAACAAGAGGGAGGAGAGACCGGAGAATTATTGTGTACTGTCTTCTTGAAGTAACTAAGAATCAAGAAAGGAGGACTGGGTTTAAACACTTGGTACTAACTGCCACTAAATGATATATCACAAAACTTAAGACAGTTTGAATTAAGGGTTATGGAACAATCTTCATTGATATGTTCAAATGTTCATAAGATAAATATTAATAACTTAGGGAACATCTTTGCAATTGGCTCTCAATCTATTATAAAACATGTTTGAAAGTAGCTATTCAATAGCAAAAAATGATCAAATTAAATGTTTATAGGTCTGTGGGGAAATAAACACTCCAATATATTACTGATAGGGCTGGCATACATTCTGGAAAACAATGCGTAATCTACCACGGGCCATAAATCTTTCAACCCTAAAATTTCATCGTTAGGCCTTTATCTTTAAAATATCACAAAAACTGAAAAATGACCCATTTACAAAAATACTCAAAAGTGATCTATATGTAACAACAAAAATTAAAGTCAACCAATATGTCAAAAACTGGAGAAAGGATGAATTATGGCATATTAATATAACAGAATATTATAATGCCAGAAATCGAAATACGAAGTATACAAGGAAATAAGGAAAAACCTGCATGATTCACTTTTTATTTTTTCAAAGTCTCTACGTCCTTGTTGTCTCCTGCACTAAAAGTTAGCTCCTTTCAAGTAAAGATTGTTGTATTTATTGTATTTGTATCCCCAGTGCCTAGCAGAGTGCCTAACACATATTAGGCATTTAGTAACTTGTTGACTGACTGATGTGATGCAAAATTAGAACAGCAGAACCAGAACTGTATAAACATCGACAACAATTACATATTTAAAAAACAAAGAAAGAAACTAAGCCAAAGGCAGAATTTCATACAGATCTGAAAAGGAACACAAAACAAAATTTTTTTTTTTATTTGTAAATTCTATCTTGCAAAATGATAATAGTGAGAAAATTTATTCTTCATCTTGTCTGTTTTTCTAATTATTTTTGTCATAGGACAACAGATCTAGAGATGGAAGGGACGTCAGAGGCCATCTGGCACAGCCGCTTCATTTTACAGATTAGGAAATAGAGGTCCAAGAAAGTTAAATGACTTGCCCAAGATCACACACATATTAAGTGTGAGAGGCAGGATTTGAAATCAGATTCTAGAGCCAGAATTCTGTCCGTCGAACCACTGGAAAGGGGACATTAAGTTTATAATAAAATTTTTATTTTCATAATGTCAAAATTAAATTTGACATTAAAATTAGACATAAACCCTATGCCTAAGTTTACAAATAAGGGCAGCTAAGTGATGAAGTGGATAGAGTGCCAGGCTTAGGTAAGAAAGACCTGAGTTCGAATCCAGCCTCTAGCTGTGTGACCCTAAGCAAATTACTTAAACCCTCTGTGCCTCAGTTTCCTCATCTGTAAAATGAGCTGGAAAGGCAAACAGTAAGACACTCCATTAGCATTGCCAAGAAAATCCCAAATGGTGTCACAGAGTTAGTGACAACTGAGCAACACCACATACAAAATAGTAACTAAACAACACTAATAAGAGGTAGGTTATGTCGCCTTTTTTCCTCAAATTACATGATGAAATAAAGATATAATTATCTTTAATGAGTATCTTAATTATTTTATCTTATTATTATCTATTTAAATATCTGAAGTAGATTAACCATACAAAAAGCTACTACAGGAAACACTGCAATTTCTATGGGAAATAATTGACATTATACACAAGAGTCAGGTCTAAAACTTTACAATTTGAGTTAAACCATTTAGAGCAGTGAACTATCTTTTCTGTTATTAAAAATTTTGTCCTAGTGTACTTAACAACCAATCCTGACTAATACAATTATTAATTCAGTTAACAATTATTTTGTTAGATAGGCCTATATGCAGGGGTGGTATGCAATGGGAGGAAGTATGGGAGAGACAAAGCAGTATAGAAGGAAGCATATTCTCCCAGTTTGTCCTGACTAATGTCATTCTGCCACATCACTAATGCTATATCCAAATTCCAAATTTCATTTTAATATTGTTTGGTCAACAGTCCTTTTCCCCAAAAAAATTTTGAATTTAACACCAAAAAATGAGTATTTCTACAGAAAAGACAAAAAGATGATCATATATGAAACTGAATTTACCACTTGCTCTTTTTTTTTTTTAAAGGCAATTGGGGTTAAGTGACTTGCCCAGGGTCACACAGCTAGTAAGTGTCAAGTGTTTCGTCTGAGGTCAGATTTGAACTCAGGTACTCCTGACTTCAGGGCGGGTGCTCTATCTACTGCACCACCTAGCTGCCCTTACCACTTGGTTTTAAAAAAACCCCACATAATCTATTTTCAAAACTGTCCTCCTTGTCTACGCTTCCTTCTGAATTTCTTTCTGTATTCTTCTGTGTACTTTTTCAAATGTTTCAATGCTTCCTCTTGTTTCTTTTCTTTGGCATCACCATTACTACTTTCCCTATCCCCTCTCTCCAATTTGAAAAAAAAAAAGAGAAAA